CCTCAAGAAGGAGACGCCGAGGCTGCGATGGCTCGCGAGAGCGCTCCGTGACAGCGTTGCCGAGCGCGTCTGGGCACCGCCGCCGCCGCCCGCGGCGGTTGTGGGAGCCGTGGACGGCGGCGACTCCAGCGGCGGTGGCCGCGGGAGCGGCGGCGTGGAAGCGATGAAGCTGCTGCTGGAAGACCTGGCGCACTCGTACCAGGGTCGGAGAGAGTCCGCTCGCCGAGCGCTGCAGAGCGTGCTGGCGTCCTCACCCCCAGCGGTGGCGGCGGCGGCGGGTGGCAGTGGGCGCGTGGCGTGGACCCCTGTCAGGGGGCGCCGCGGAGGGGAAGGGGAGGGCGGGGAGGAGCGGGTCGTCGTGCTGCAGGAGGAGGCCGACCGGGAGCAGTGCGGGTGGCTATTCTGCTGCCAAAGTCTTCCGGCGTGGACTCACGTGAGCTTGTTTTTTTTTAGGAGGAGGAGGAGGAGGAGGAGGAGGAGGAGGAGGAGGAGGGGGAGCGGCGGCGGCGGCGACCGAAAAGTCGCATCGCGGATGAACCGCAGTGCGCGTCTAGCTATTCTTTATTTGAGTGTATCGGAAGCATAGAGAGTGCCACTCGCAAGCCCTTGCCTCCTCTTTCTCGTGGAAGATTGGACAGATCATGGAGGGAGCGGGAGACCTTATGCGCGTACCACATGTCGCTGCCCCCCCTCCGGCACCTCCTGCCGTAATGTGTGGTGTAATTTTCGCGTGTCCCCACACCCGCCGGCCGCAGGTGGCACCGCTGGTTGTGCACGCGGTACGCGATTCGGTCTTCTACGAGACCTCCGCCGACCCGATCCGCTTCTCCCTTCTCGGGCTCGACCTTATCACGCGGCAACAAGCGCCACCACCGCCAAGGGCGCCACCGGCGTTAGACGAGGAGGAGGGGGGGGCGGGGAACGGCGACGAAGAGGACGGGGCAGGGGGGAGCGGTGGTGGTGTTTCTCGGCGGGGGGTTGCCGGCCAGGACCGGTGGTTCTTCACGTTCCTGCTCTGCAAGCTGCTGAGCGGGTGAGACATGTAGGAGTAGGAAAACGCCTCGGTACTTGTGGTTAAAAATTGCTCGAGATTTTTTTTTATCCTCCTCGGAGACACAGTTGAATGGGAGAGGGAAGAGATACATGTACAGCAGTAGAGGTCCCTGTATAGGGCCGACATGTGCCCAGAATCTTACTGGCACTATACGGGGCACCGGCGCAAACGAGGGACCTCTCCTGTATTGACAATTGCCGGTTTGCGGGGATCGAGTCCCCCTTTCCCCCCGGACTGGGCGGGAAAGCGGGGTACCTTTTGCCCCGTCCGCGTGCGCTCTATACGGCCCCTGTGAATATCCTAACGAACTTAGTTGGTTGTTTGCTCTCCCCCCTCAGGCGCAAGATGGTAGCCTCTAACACCCTGCAGAGGTACCCGGAGACGTTCGACCTGGCCGCCAGCGCGGTGAACGGAGCTCTCAGGGGCGCGACCGTGGAAGGCCTGAACTTGTTCGCGGAGGTGAGTCGGTTCAGAGCGGGGCGGTGGCTGGCTGGGATTTAAGCGGGGCAGCAGTCAGAGCAAAGCTGTAACGAGGAGGAGTGAAAACTTGCCATATCGAAACATGTATCTCAGACGGGGGGGGGGCGTTGCGCTCGCTAGTCTTGTTACTGGCTTGCGCTGTTTCTTTGTTGTCCTTTATGGGCCATAATAGAATATGAATATCGCGAGTGAAAACTTGATGCGCGCAGTTGGTATTGCCTTGTCGAAACATGCGTCTACAGCGGGGGGGGGGCGTTGCGCTCGCTAGTCTTGTTGATTGCTTACGCTGTTTCTTTGTTGGCCTTGATGGGCCAAATAGACCGTGAACATCGTGTCCTTCGAGACAACGGTTTTGTATGGGTTGTGCCACCGCTTGACCGAGAAACGCACGGTGCGCGAGAGGGTAATGTGATGAAGAAAATGAAGAGTTGTCATGCCCTTGAACTGCTGTTTATGCCAAGTGACTTGTTTGCGCCGCTGTCTTTCTGCCTGTCTCTCGTTGAAAGAGGTGGATGGCGGGGAGGAGGGGTTGTGTCCCGGTGTTAGCACACGTGGAAAGAAACCTTGCTTCCAACGCCAGGACTTGGACAAAGGGCTGTCGAAACCGCCACCGCTGCTGAAGCGCCTCCCAACCGACACTCGCCTTTTGGTTGTTGCACACACTGCTTTGCACTCTCCGGCGTGGGGGCTGGGGCTCAACCAAACCTTTTCCCCGCCCGCGGCTTGCCCGGTTGTGATGTCGAGACCCATGAGAGAACCCCTCTTTGGAGTCTTGCAGCCGATAATGCAGCACGCAGATGACGCGTTGACAAGACCTCCCGCTTTTTTGCTCCGTCCTCTCGAGGACGCGTGGTCAATGGTCTCACCGCTACGGCATGCAAAACATAAAAGAGTACCCTCCCCCCCCCCCTCCCCATGTACTCTTTACGCCTGCGCCTCAGGGTAGCGTGTGGCCCGACAAGCCTCGGACCCGGTTTCCGTGCGTGGAGGCGTCTACGGGGGAAGTGAAGACCGTGCTGCTGCCGCCCCTCCTCCTCGAGACGGCCATCGCCCTGCTGAGCTTCCACCGGGCCGACGCTAACCTTACGCCAGAGCTGCGGGTGAGAGGACTGGCTACTGGTGTCGGTGGTTGCATCTTGCCCATCGTTTTCTATTTTTGACCCGCCTGTGTTGCAGGGTGCCTTAGGAAAACCACCGGCACCAGCGACGCAGGGAACATGGATATTCACCACCCACAATTCGTCAAATTATCACTACCCCACCCACCCCCGCTCCATACTTGTAGGAGCCCCAAGAGCTAAATAATGTTCTCCACGGAGCACCCGACGGCGACGCAGCCATGCGGTCGGGCGCAATCACGTCACTTCCCACCGTGTTTCTTTTTGTAGGCCTGCCTTATTTGTGAGCGTGCTTGTCGAAAGACACCAGCACCAGCGACACAGCAAACATCCATTATTCACCACCCAATTAATTATCGTCACCCGCCCCCCCCTGGCTCCATAGGAGCTCCAAGAACTAATGTTCCCTTCGGAGCACCCGGCGGCGACGCCGCTTTCATCATCCTCGTCGCCGTCGGCGGCGGCGGCGGCGTCAACCGGCACGGAACCTGCCGCATCTGCGGAGGCGGCCGCGGCCCTGGTAGGGGCGGGGGCGGCGAAGATGGACGGGCTGGTGAGGGACGCCGTCGGCGTGAAGCTCTGGGTGCGACTCGCGCAGGCGCCCTCCCAGCAGATGTCTGCCCTCGCTGCCCGGTGAGAGACCCGAAAAAATAACTTACACCTTTGTATGTATGTATGACCTCACCTCTTCCGCGAGAAATCGTTTTTTGTCTTTTTTCAGGCACGTTTGGTGTGCTTGAGCAGCTGTTGTCATCATCTACAAGACTTCCTGCATGTTTTTTTTTTTTGTGGGCGGGGGGGGGGGGGGGCGTACTCATTTGTTGCTTGC